GGAGGAAGCACCATCTTTAACGATTGTATCACAGTTCTCCATCTTCCCAGTGAAATTTAGGAGGTTTCAATCCCTTGGTCCCATTAAACGGCACAAACGTGAACCTATGTTTCTAAAAACTGACATTTACACTCGCAAATACACCTGACTCCAGGGTTTTCCCTGCTATATCAAGACAAAACAGGAACAAAGGTGTTTTGGTCAGATTTGATACCATCTTGCTGAAGTACATAAATCAGTCAGCGATATGTAGTACGCACCAGAGAGATCCTTACCTTCAAGCTGATTTGAATTCTGTCCTCAGTAACATCAAGCACTTCAATTAACGGCTGGCTTTCCACTGCTGATTGGGAGCAAAAGGAAGGGCATAAAACAGTGCCTAGAAATCCATCAACATTTTCTTCACTGACAAACAATCTTTCCTAAAGAAAAGAAAGAGCAGGTTATATTCTTTTCGTACCATACTTCAGCGCTATTGGAGCAAGAAACTCGCTCCAAAGGCAGGACGCTGATTCACAACACAGCCCACTCACGTCTCGATAGAGAAATTCCAAGTCAGACATTCAGAAGTAATGAGGGGAAATGAAGACCCATGCTTAGCTCACTTCGATTTAAAGTACAGGGCTGCATCATACACAAAGATCAAAGAAACATGTCTTCTCTCTTTCATACGTGACCAATATCTAGATTTAGGCTCCCTCCAAGGACTGATTTGCACAAACATTGCTCCGCCGTCCTCGCTGCCTTAACATCAGGAAGGTGGTGTGCTTTTATGGATTTGTTTCGGTGTCTTACTTTAGGAAAATGCAAACACCTCCTTGGTTGTCACCGCAGGATCTTTGAACCCTCAGGCTTCAGGGTCAGACCTTCTAAAGGTCTATGAAACACGCACAGCTATATCCATTTCACATCCATCCATGGAGGCGTCTCAGATCTCCATTTAGGCAAGCGTAAACACCAGTTGGAAGAAACGGAGAGGTATCCACAGTTAGAGACAACAGTCTGGGACATGTTTTGAGGCTGTTAATATGCAGTTCACAAACAATGTCAAACACGTTGCTACAGGTTTAAAGATTTAAATCATTTACAGGTAATTAAAGGTCCTAAAGTATATCCTGGAGGGGCTGTTTCATAAGAACTGCAGAGCTTTCCCTGTCCTCATATTCTTCCTAAATCATCTGCTCTAGGCCATGGGCAAGGACAGACGTTGGCATGATAAAAATGGCCTAAGCGAGAGGACTCCTCTTATGTTCTCTGTGAATCCCCTTTCCTGTTCAACAAGGGAAAAGTTGCAAACCTTCTGCTTTAAGTCATACTTTTTGATGTCTCAGACCAGTTTTACCCTCTTGTCAACCCAATGAAAGTTAAATTCAATTATCACCGACATCTTGCGGACTGAGAAGCAAAAAGGCAATTCTGCACATTTTTGGCCCCCTGTGGATGTAGCCTTATGCACAGCCAGATGCCGCGCTGTGTCTAAGGTACAAAATTTAATTGTCATCTTAAAAAAAAAATTCTGTATGGGAAAAATAAAACAGCGTAGTATGTTTTCACTATTTAAATTAGAAATCACAATATGGGAAGTCATAACATACCTACTGCTGGTTTTCAAAACCAGAGGACTGAATTTATCTTCTATCCAGAAAGATTACAGTCCAGGCAAACATCCAACATCGGATGCTGAGACAGTTTGTGGAAAGATTAAACTACAGCATGGTTGCCCCAAGAGAAAACCCTCTAGTACCATACCTACTTCTTGCATTTTTGTATATGAAGCCTGAAGTACTTATTCCCTCATGTTGCATCCTTTCTTGCCTGCCAGAGAGGGGCCCTGCCAGTGCTTTAGGCCTGTAGAAATATTCCGCAGAGGTCAAGAGAAGGTGTCAGAGTAAAGAAACAAGGCAGGGAGTACAGACGCAAAAATCTGTGCAGCACCAAAACTCCCCCAAGCTCGTGACCTAGATCACTGGCAAGGCCTCGGGCAGCACAGGAGATACGTTTCCACCTCCGCAAGTATCGCTTTGCCCACGCATCACAGACAGAACAGCTCACCTTCCCTTCCGCAAGGCTTTGGGCACGCTGCCGAGCGCGATGGCGGCTCAGCCCATCCTCGTATCCCGCCTTCGCTTCGAAGGAAGGTGCGGCAAAGCACCCTCTGCTCCAGCACGACGACTCTCCTCGCCCAGCTGAGGAACCTCAGTCACCTGCCAGTAATTCACTTTTAGCTGACACCTCCACTCCTTAGCACCCCATGTTTTCATTTTAAGAACATTTTCCTAAAAGCTCACAATTTGGAGACTCGCAATTTGAGAGGGGATTAAAAAAAAAAAAAAAAAAAAAAAGGCTAGTGCTTGTTACTGGTTTTCCTCCAAAATAACTGCTACGAGATCTCCACATCTCAACACCCTGCTTGGGAAAAGAACCACTGTGGGGTTTGGGGCTCGGCCATCTTCCTCCAGTTCTCTCTCCTGGACTACCATGACTGTGAGCAAGTCTCTTTGCCTCCATTTTTCCTAGATAAAATGAGGAAACCAATTTTTTTTTTTCCTCTGAACCTGCATTACTTCTGTCTAGTCAGAGCATAGGCCTTTTGTGAAAGGCCTCTCTTACTGTGCATTTGCGCTCTTAACAAAGTTGGTACCTGCCCGTGCTCATGTCCATAAGCAGTGTCACAATAAAAAGAAATCGCAAGTAACAGGAATCGGGAGAGGAGATGCTTGAAAAACCAACAAGGTAATGAAAAGTTTTCTGTAAGGACTAAAGATTGCAAATCACATCCTTAGATCGCTCCGTCTGAAGCGACGGTAGCCCCCGGGGCACTTGTGCACGCTGCAGAGCCATTGCCTCCAAAGTCAGCGCCGTGGTGAAACGGCAGCAGCGGCAAAGGGAGCGCCCTGCGGTGCGGCTCGGCACCCGGCGTCCCACGAAATGCAGGAACGGCTTCAGGGAGGTGTTTCTGAAATAGCAGGAGACAGTTTACAGGCACCAAAGCAGAGATACAAAGAAGAAAACCGGGAGGACCCTTAGGAGAGAAGGTGAGGTTGAGAGAGCTCCGCATAGAAACTGCCTCCCCGGGTCAGGGTGCGGGTGCCAGCTCGGCGCGTTGACCATGGCTACGAGAAAAGAGCAACGGCCGTTCATCCTCAATGCAAAGACAACTTTGGCAACAAACCCAATAAATCTTTCTGAAGGGTTTTTTTTCCCCTGATTAAAAGCAAAATAATTTATTTTCTTCACAGAAAACCCTGTTTAAAAAGAGAAACTGAATGGAAGGTCTATTGATCAGTACTTTGCAGGAGGATAAAGTCACGGCTTGTGACGACGTTCCTATCATTCTGACTAATTACTATAAACCAATTTGACCAGGTTTCATAGCGGCTGGACCCCGTATTCCCAGAGTGCTACCCACTTCTATTTCAAGTGAGCATTTAAAACTTTGTCACAGCACTATCCAGTGGCCTGCCATAAATCACGGTACCTCACGCTGCACGCACAAGCAATGCTGTTTGTTATCAATATAGGGATTATCACCAGCCTGTTCAGCCAGCCAGCAACTGTAATTCAGGCTTTGCATTCACGGTGAGTATACGCCGAGGCATTTATATTACTGCAGATGTTATCAAAGCACAGATCTTGGCAAAAAAAATGACTCAGGAATTTATTTTAAAGCCTGTTTGCTCTGGCTTGGAAGAGCAGCAAAGGACAACCATCTGCAGATGATTTCAATGACCCTGTAAAATAATTCCTCAGTTTAAACAGTTTTATTTTCTGATATTTATGACACTCTCTTAGCAACTAAGAATTAAATTTGTTTTTCCCTGTGCATACTGTCATCTGCTGTTTGGTACACATTCGTTTTTCCCTGTGACTAAACTGAGACCAAATTAAAAAAAATGACTTTGGTTTCTAGAACACTTCATCATTCCAAACCCTCCTCGTATCGCACAGGACTGACAGCGCATAGCGGCAGCAACGCCGGCAGACACCGTGCAAAGCCGGCGCCCCCACGGCCGCCCTTAACGCTCAAATAGTTTGCTCTGCATTGCTTTATCCAAACTCGCAGCCAGTTGCCATCCAGAGTCACCTCCCACACAGGCTGCAACAGTTTTAAAAGCGGGACGGATTTCAGGCTTAAATTATTTGCACGTCTTCCGTAATGAGAAGCTGATGCCAGTATGCAAAGGGACTTGGATCTAGAGATGCCCTGGCCTCGCGGTTTGTAGGGTCCCATTGCAAAACCAGCTCAGCGTGAGAATTTGAAGCTCAAAGTTCTGGTGAATGAAAGTACCTGTAACTGGGGGTGAAAACTTTGATAAAGTATTCGCAACTGCAAAGATTAAACAGCTCAAAAGAAGCTTTCATGAGCTTAACCAGTAGGTTAATAATGTTTCCCGAGATAACTGTTCGGTGTGAGGACGTTATTCCCATAATGCATCTACCAATTAAAGGCTATTCCGAAATTAGTTTGTTTTATAGCAGAAGCAAACTAATTATGTTTCTTGATGTAGTTTGGGAAAGAGATTACTTTGGAAAAAACAAAACAATAAGTTTGTTCTGTTTTCCTTTTCTGTCCTCCTCTGACCTCCCAAAAAACTTGCCAAGAATCCTGAAATGCTGAGCACAGAATTAACTGAACCAAAAATAAACTCTTGTAGGATTAACCACAACAGTCCTAGTTTCTAGCATCATCTTCTAAGAAGCAACCCCTAACTATTCTATTAACTCCTTGTAGTAGCTTGGAAGTGGAAAATTATAACCCTGACTTTCAAAGAAAGCACATAACTCAGAAAAGCTTGGAACTAAGGGCAAAGCCAAGGGGCAGCAGTCTCCCAGAGGGCTGAGAGCCAGCACCCGCTGTTCGGGGTTGCGAGCACACCGCAGCGGCCACCCAGCTCTGCGGTACAGGTTTCTCCCTGAAAGGTGGCATAGGCTTAAAACGTCCATCATGGAATCATAGCACCGTTTAGGTTGGAAAAGCCCTTCAGCTCCCCCAGCCCAACCGCCCCCCTACCCCTGCCATCCCACCCCCAAACCCCGGCCCTCAGCACTGCCTCTGCCCGGCTGTTAAATCCCCCCCGGGCTGGGGACTCGACCCCTTCCCTGGGCAGCCCCTTCCAGCGCTGGACAACCCTTTCGTTGAGAAATGAAGCTTTGATGCAGAGGCAGCACGATCTCCACACTGCAGGCTGAACACCCCCAGTTCCCTCAGCCGTCAATGTATCTTGTACTTCCCAACACAGCTCTCTAGGTTTCATGCTTGGTTGACTCTTGAACCGAGAAATACATTTATCCACAAAAGCCCTAATTCTGCGATGACCGAGCACGAAGCCCCAGCATGACCCCAGGCAGCGGGCCCATGGGAGCACATCCAGCCCACAGCCTTTTCCGCACGCTCCCAGTGCCGGGAGCGACACGGCTCTGC